ACCCTCATAGTAAAAGTTGTGCCTCAGAGCTGCAGCTGACATGTTTCGAAAGGAGCAACTTCTTTAAAGGCTAACCATCTCATTACTGATTTGTGTCACACTTTTGACTGATTCACTGCAGCTCAAAGACAGCTGGCCAGTATTTGTAGAAAAGTCAGTCGGTTTCATACAAACTATGCTAGTTACAAAGCAATCACACAGAGGTGTACTACCAGTTGGGAAATGCACCTTTTTCCTTAGAAACAGTTAGCATGGGGACACTGACCAGTCTGCAGGTCTGTGTGTTGAGTGCCTTATTCATTTGTGTGTAACATGATTAGCGGTCACATGTCTGCAAATACTCAAAAGCATCAGAAGTCTTTTTGCGGCCTCAAGTATCGCCATCTGGTGGCCTTGAGATAGAATGCAGGTTTAATGCGCTTCCCAGTTGGCTTCAATATTTTCTTTTAAGATTAGCATGTATAAAGATGAGGGGGAAGTTTATTGTGAATGAAAACGCCTCCAGCTGTTCAGTAAATGTAAAGTTAAAGGGATAAGGTCACCCATGGAGCGCTCTTCGTCTTAAAGCAGTGATGTCCTTAATGCGACTACACCTACCAGGTGGGAAAGTCAGGCCACAAAACTGCATACAGTTAATGTTACACTTGATTAATTTCTGACTTCTTAAGTTAACACATCTAGTTTTAGTTAACTGTAATAATCCTGGATGCTGGCTTGAGCCTCACATTTGCCTGGAGCCTTTCTGTGTGGGGTTTGCACATTTTTCCTGTGCTTGCATGGGCTTCCTCAAGATACTCCAGCTCTCTCCTACAGTCCAAAGCCAGCGGGGCTTCAGCCAACCCCCCGAAATCCCACATCCGCCTGAACACACGGCAGCGGCCTTACAAGTGTCAGCTCTGCGATCAATCCTTCAATGACAATGTGATCTTGAAGAATCACATCCCCTGTTATCACACGGCAACTCCTGGACAGAAAAACGGCAGCGCTGGTGGTGCTCTGGCTAATGGGACAGAGTGACTGTGGACGAGGAGGAGCAGGAGAAGGAGGAGGAAGACATGAAGCAAAAGGAGATCTAGTGGGAGAAGAAAAATTTGACTGCGACATTGACCCAGCTGAAAAAAAAGGAAAAAGTCCAATAGTAAAAACAGTAGTAAGACCAACAACAAATCAGGATATTTGAAACAATGAACTAAAAATACTGAGCTAATGATTTATTCAGAAACAGCTTAATGTGTCTTTTACATCCCCTGGCTAGCCGAAGAGATAGGAGGGAATAACATAAAGTTAAAATAGTGAAAGAGGAGTCAAGATGGCATTTTTAAAGGTTTATTTTCTGCTAGTTTAAAACTTTGGTTCAGACTGACATTTAACTCAAGGGAGAGCTAACGCCAACATAACAAACAAAACATCCCTAACAGAAAATAAAAGGAACTTGCCCAATGCCAAAGAAAACAAAATATACAAAGATAGCCAACCTAACCAGCACATAAACAGTAGAAAACAAGGGATTACGTTACAAAAGCAATTCTCCCCTACAGGCAGTCTGAACAAAGTCACATAAGGCTAAAAATACAAATCAAAGGCATGTGAGCCTGCACATGTATGGCAGTGAAAATGGCCAGAAGGCCCAGAAACACAGCTTCACAAACGTTATATAGGGATCTGCCGATTGCTGATTGACTTGATTCAAGCAGCAGCTATGGAACGCCAGGACTGCCATAATGAATTAATTAAATACACAATTAAATAATTAATTAAATGTGGCAATAATTAATTAAAATTGGAATTAATTAATTAAATAAATAGTTATGACACATGTAATTAATTAATTATTGACACATTTAATTAATTATTTATGTATTTCACATTTTAATTAATTATTGACACATTTAATTAATTATTGACACATTTAATTAATTATTTAATGATATATTTATTTATTTCATTTTGGCAGTCCTGACGCCTGGCTCTCGTCATGAAATAATTTTATCTGTCAGCCTCACCCATCAAACTCAGGGGGCGGGGTTAACGCTGCCCATGCAGCTTCTCTAACATTTGATTGGTTGCCGTGCAAAGTAAGTCAAAACAGGTCGATCCTAGAAAATCGATTGCTTGTGTAGACTTGGGGCAGCCAGGTATCCCAGAATGCAGATCAAATCACAAGCAGCAATGGTGGTGGTGTAGTTTTAAAATACCCCATTTTTCTGTCACCAGCTACACTTTTAACAGTGTTTTAGCCGCGAATGTCGCGACGTATGTCTGGTCAGGTTGTCAACATAGAACATGTTTGCAAAATTGCTCAGATGTTTTCAGAGATTTCACTAGCTCTGCTAACAGTTAGCATGCAGAGTGCACCGAGGGGGTTACGTTAACCGGTTTGTTTACATATTCCACTCTCCGTGTTCCACATGTTGCATTCGCAGATTCTCATTTTCACCGAACAATCGTCTCTTTCCGCCTGGTCTTGTGTCTCTGTGCTTCTGTAACATAAAGAACGAGCTGACATTTTTCTCACGAAACCAGCGATCAGCTCAACAGACCCTCAGTTTACCTGCATGCATCCTCCTCCTCATCTGTCAGCTGTTTAACACCTGCTGCTAATTCAAGAAACACGCCTAGTTACCTGGTGATAGTCACAGTTTAACTGGGCAGCCGGTGCTCGATATAACGCAATGTCAGCGCATTTTTCTGCACAAGATAAGTAAATATAGTGTTTTCCCCGAGCGCAGAGCTGCTGGAGCTCGTTTCCTTACAGAGCACTTTATAGGCGAACAGCTTTATCAGCGGCTGATGTCCAATCACCGGCACACAGCTTTCAAACCTCAGCTGAGTTTTAGCTCTCAGTGGTTAAACACTGGACTTCATTCACTCAGGTTCTGTCTGTCAGGTCACGTTTACTTCGCTGTTTTATTTACAACTGAGCAAATCGGTTTGGCTGAGGTTAAAGTTACGTTTCATAACTGCATAGTTTCACAGACGTTTAATGAACCACTGGCACATGTGTTAGACTGAACTATCATCTAAATATCATCTGTTTTTTAATAGTTATTCAACTGTATTCTAAGCACCAGCTGTCTGTTAGAATGTGATTTTTTTCTCTCTCTCTGTTGGCAGAGGTATAAAAATGCGCAGGAAAATCTGACGTGCATGGCGAACTTCACCGACGATATTTAGGGAGGAATAAACACACATCAAACATAAATGAACCATTTGCCTGTCTCCATAATTGAGAGAATTTTCTCTTCTTATGTCAACTCTCTCTCTCTCTCTTTTTTTTTTTTTTTGCTTTTTCGGTCATGTTATGTTTACCTGTCAAAGGCTTGTTACAAACTATGAAACACATTGTGCAGACTTCTGGATGTTAGAAGAAAACTAATACTGCTCATGAATGAGACTAAAGGCAGGAAGGTGTCCCTTAAAACTAAACATGTTAATAGGACCTCCCTATTTATATCATAGTTTATGATATAGCACGTGTATTTCAGTAATAGCCTGCTGAGGCCACTATACGTGCTGGCCTCATATCAAATGTGAAGGCAGACTGAGTCTATGTTTGACGTTTTTTATATCTAATCTTCCTTTTCAAACATTTAAACAGCAGCGAGTCTGCAGCTGAGGGAATACAAATTCAAATTGTCGGAACAGGTTTGCTCGTTTCTTGGATTCATTTGGTGATTTATTAAATGTATAACTGTTATTCTAATCTGCTGCTGAGTCTCTTACACTTTTCTTTATGCTGTATATTTTCACGTCTCTGGAATAGTTGGCAGTTAGATAGTCAGCTGGGAAACTTTGTGTTAACTCATGGAGCTGAGGATATCGTGGATATGCTGACCTCGCTGCGTGGTGTACAGAGCGAGGTCAGCGTGATTAATATTCACAATAAAAATATTAGCCGAACATCATGAAGTCTGTATGTGTTTCATAGTGTCGAACAACCTTTGTACAGTTAAAGCCAGCAGTTACTACATGACGGAAACACCAACGTTATCTCTTTTACACGTTTTATACACAGGTCACGCTGATTACTGAACAAAAACCCAAAGATCAGATGTTAAACAGATTTATTTGCTCTCTCTCCTCCTTAAACATGTTTTTAATGTTAGTTATAATTCAGAATTGGCGACTGAAACACGTAGGACACATAAGAACATCAGGAAATAAAACATCGATAAATATAACCTCAGTAAAAGAAGTCAGCGGGGGTTACTACAGCTGTGTACCGGGGCCTGCGCTTTGTCGGTGGGATTGCTTGCGAGGCGAGCGGGTCTATCCCACGGTTTGCCGTGAGACTGGGCAGACATCTCCGAAATCATCGAAACACTTTTGCAAAGAGGCTGTATCTTGACAAACCGACCAGACACATGAAGATTAAACCACTACATTCTCGGCTAAAAAAATATTAAAACGGTATTTGGTAACACACAAACAGGGTTTTTCAAAGCTCAGTTCTGTTAGCTTCCACATGCCGGTTGTTGTGTGCTAGAAACAATGGCCACCAGGCCAAAGCAATGGTTTTGACTCGATCAGCGTTAACCCCGCCCCCTGAGTTTGATGGGTGAGGCTGACAGATAAAATTATTTCATGATGAGAGCCAGGCGTCAGGACTGCCAAAATGAAATAAATAAATATATCATTAAATAATTAATTAAATGTGTCAATAATTAATGAAATGTGTCAATAATTAATTAAAATGTGAAATACATAAATAATTAATTAAATGTGTCAATAATTAATTAAAACGTGAAATACATAAATAATTAATTAAATGTGTCAGTAATTAATTAATTACATGTGTCATAACTATTTATTTAATTAATTAATTCCAATTTTAATTAATTATTGCCACATTTAATTAATTATTTAATGGTGTATTTAATTAATTCATTATGGCAGTCCTGGCGTTCCATAGGTTTTAGTCTTTTTAATTTTTAATTTGTGGAGCTGTGCAAGTTTTCTACCTAAGTGACGAGAAATGCCAGCGTCATCTACTTGTTAAGCCGGGATACGCTGGTCGCCAAACCAAGCGAACCCAGCAAGAGAGCCACGCCAGTTCTGTTAGCACAACATTCGCTTACTTAGCCATTAGCCTGCCATTGTTGTTTATGTTAAAATGTGGCAGCTACAGCAAGCGAGCGTTAAAACGTAACGCTGTCCGACCACTTCTACAACTGGAGGGTCACATCTGTAGCCCAGCATGTGCTCCGTCGTTGGTTGTGATTCGTGGCGACACAATGTGCAGCGGTTCAGGCTACCAGAGGACCCGGAGAGGAGACTGGAGTGGGTTCTGTTTCTGTTCGAAGTCAACAAGCAGCGACTAAAAGAATCGTCCTGGACTGATATCACTATTTGCAGTGAACACTTCACAGATGGCTGCTTCGTGAGCTTGGCTCTGAGTGGCTCGGTGCAGCTGAAGCCCGGTGCTGTCCCCTCACTGTGGGTCAACACAGAGCCAGAGGAACCCGTGGAGAGCCCACAGGATGAGGTAAGTCAGCTGAGGGATCACCTGTTGCTGGACTTCACCGGATCTTTAAAAAACTGCTCCCAAGCCAGCTTCCACGTTGCTTTGCGTTATACCTATATACTGTGTATTACGGAAAGAGAAACTGAGACGTGTTTACAAAATAAAAGCGACTTTCAAATGAATGTGATTTCTATGTTAGCCCACACCACACGTTTAGTCTGGCATAAATGCCAAAATACTATAGAAAATGAATTCATTTCAAAATTAAACATAAATAATGAAAGCTGATTTATTTTTTTAATTAAGATTTTAAGTCGTGAACAGCCATTACAGGTGAACGTCCTGTTTCCACAGACTAATTTTATTTTAGATCCACAGTACACACCCTTATCGAGTTACTCAGTCAATATCAATCAATAAGTCAGTTTGATTTTGTATTTCAAAGTAAAGAGACTTTACTTTTTCCACTATCCATCTATTAGAAGGAAAGATTTGCTTCCACAGACTAATTTTACTAAAGATCAACAACATCAAAAGCTATCCAAAATTGCGTATATGAATACTGTTGATCTAAAGTATATTAAGTGACATATTAACTATTTTTAATGGCTTTACACGGTGTTTGAATTGCAATTCTAAGCGTGGCTATTTTAAGACAAGTTTATCATATTTCAATATTTCTGTTATCTGCAATTTGATTTTTTTTTTCACATAAATTTTTGTTTTGTGTTTTATTATTGCTATTTCATCAATGACAGGCTAAATTTTTTGGTTGTTGAAATGAGTCACTTGAAGAGCAATTTTACTTTGAAATCCATACATTGATGGGTATAGACAAAAAACGCATGCTTGTTAACTGTTTGTGGCTTTGTTTGACTGAAAGCTTTTGTGTTTTTTTGTGATTTTTGTGTAGGAACCTGTTACCACCACAGATGCAGATAGTCAGTGTGATGACCTAGAATTATGTAAGAGCTCTACTTGTTCCCCTGAAATAACAGAATGCCCCTTGAGAGGTAAGAAAGTGTCCATATCACACCATTAAAAATCTAAAGTGTGACAAAGTGTTGTATTCAAGCCTGTCCCCCACAATGTTTCAGATGCTCTCACTCCTGAAACTCCAGACACAGATTCGAACCAGGAATTGTAAGTTCCACATTTCTGAGCATGTTTGAAGATGTGACATCATGACGCGTCTGACTGTTTGTATTCTTGTGTTTCAGGCCTGCACTTCAGAACGACAAATACATGGTGAATGAAAATTGCCTCCTGAAGGTGTTTGGCCAAAAGTGCCCAACATGTGGAGACAAACTCCAGGCAGTGAAAGTAACCTATGGGGAGCTCATCATCTTGAAACAACGATGCCATAAGTGCGACTACAAAAACAAGCGGAATGGTCAGGTCAGTGCCCCTCTCCCTGCCGCTGAAGATGGACGCCTGACAAGAGGCACAGAGGGAACCCCAGAGACCCAGCTGGTAGGTTTAACCTGATTTACTGTCTACTAAAGAAAACTTGGTCATCAGAGAAGTTTGCAATGTGTTTATTTTATGATTCCTAACTGGACTTGACTCATAAAAAGTTTAATATGACATATTTCATTAAATATCATAGACTAAAAGATAGCTGTATCCGCCGTAATGTCACGCATTATGGTTGGGATTGCATTGGTAATGCTTAATGATATGAATTGAGATGCTTATTTTAGCTAGCAGAAAGCAGTCTTTCAAAAAAAGTGTATTCAAACAGCTGACTAGAGCAGCCTACCTGTCTTTCAAAATGGATGCAATTTTGAATTATAATGTAACCAAAAACAATAGTTGTGTTTCACTCTGAAGTACAGACTTCTTGGATGGGTTATACTATACAGCAGGATGTAGCAGGCGCCCCAAAAGGAACACGCAAGACCACTAACACAGTGACTCCAATTAGCAGATGTGACGCCGCTGCAGACACCAACGGGTTTACAGCTGCCTGTGTCAGCACACTCAATCAAAGTGGCCACGCCCCTAACCCTTACTATTCACACGGATTAGTTATAAAAAATTCTCCCACTTGCAGATGTTGTAAACGAGAAAACTATCCATAGAGATCAAAACCGTTTTGGTAGCAGTCTGTAAAATTATTTTGAATTCTCTAAAGCCGGGTATTTTAACTTAAGACATGACAGGGATTGACTCACTTTTGGAGCCAGCTTCACGTAGTCATGATAGGAGCTTCCCACTTAGTTTCTGGGAGTTTCTTCAGAAGTGATGGTGCAAATAGCAACTCTTAAGATCTCACATCACTTCACAATTTAATCAAGCTACTTTTTTTTGGATTGAGAGTCATACATGCGTTTAATTTGTTTGGCTCTCAGAAGTAATAATTCTCTCAGAAAGATGCAAATTCTGCGTCTCTATTATTCCATTTGGAACAAAAAAGTATCTGTTTTCTGCTTTTTGTGTCTTTGCCCGCGCTTTTGCTGAATTGCAGTTTTAAAAAAAGCACTTATAGAAATGATACTTTGTCCTTTGCTTGCACCTCTGTCTTAGTCATTTTTCATGAAAACTCTTTGCTGTACAGGCTTGAAAAAGTTTCCCAAATGCTACGTTGCCATTCTTGTCATTCACAGTCAGCGCTAAGAGACGACAACGCCGGCGCTGTGGCTTTGTCTGAGGCCGTCACTTTTAGCGATGAAAAAAGCGATCCTTCAGACGACGAAGAGGAAGGCAATAGAGGTGGGATGAGTTCAGATGGGGACTGGAATCCCACGGAGGAACTTTTGGTGGCTGACGAGCTCACAAAGGAGTCTGAGGAGGAAACCGAGGATGAAGGCGAAGAGGAAGATTTTGAATCCCCGGGTGGCCTCGAAATTAATGAGTTGTGCACAGAGTGCGGACGTTTTTTCCTCATCCTGAAGCCTCACACATGCGAGCACAAAATAAAACCCTACTCCTGCAATATCTGCGGGAAAAGGTGCGTTTCTGAGATTGCTCTAAGAAATCATAGCGAAATCCACGACGAAACGTACGAGCATCCTTGCAAGTATTGCTATGTCACCTTCAAAACCAGGGCGGACAAATTTAGGCACGAGCTGACCCACCAGGATAAAAAAGATCCCTTTAAATGTCCCGACTGTCCAAAGACATTCGCCACCAGTAAAGAACGCCGGAGCCACCTGGCAAAGCACAGAGTCTCGAGGGAGTTCAAATGTGGAGTCTGTGGGATTGACTTCAAGGACATACATCGTCTCAGGAGGCACTCCGTTGTGCACACAGGACTGAAACCGTACAAGTGTTCGGTGTGCCAGCGTGGCTTCAACCAGACGAGCCACCTGAAGTCCCACATGCGTCTGCACACCGGGGAGCGGCCGTACAAGTGTCAGCTCTGTGACATGTGCTTCAACCACAACGTGAGCTTGAAAAGTCACGTCCAGCGTTACCACACGTCCAGCTCTGGACTTCAGCAGATGGATAAAAGGGCAAATGATGCTAAGAGGAACAAGAAAAAGAGAGACGTGAACTCTGAGTTTGACAGTGTGAAAGTAAAACAGAAGGTTCAGAGAGAGAGATCAATGAAGCCGAAAAGTAAAAGGAGAAGCACGGACAGGCCCAGAGGAATCAAATCAAAGGTACAGAAGTTAAAGAAAACAGGCTCCGGTGATGAGGGGAGCGAGGACAAGCAGTCAGGTAGTGATTTATCCTTTGACTCGACAGAAGAGGAGGAAGAAGAAGAAGAGGAGGAGGAGGAGACATTGGGAAGGCGACCAAACGGTGACAGTGACTCTGATTTTGACCCAGAAGTAGAAGCAAAGAAGAAGAGGTGCAGCAGCCAGAAGACTGTTAAGAAACGGAGAGAAAGATCAAAGAAGGGCCTGGTGGTCTGAAGTCTGTGGTTTTTGTTTTTTTGTTTGTCTTTTTTAATGATGTAAAAACAGAAGGATCACACTACACAGCCACTATTGATATAATTCAGTACATGCATGAAATCGTTGCTTTATAGGGAGTTCCACACTGTTGTTTGATTTTCCCAAGCCTTTTTATCTTAACAGATGTGGAGGTGAATTGCAAACAGATGGAAGCTGATCGAACGTTATGGCACTGCTTGCCTGAAGAAGAGCAAGTCAGTATTTATTCAGAATCAAAATGACGCTAATGTAAGAATGAACTTCCATTGTTTTTATTTTTATCACTACATACAGTCAGTTTCCAGTCTTATATTAGCTCTGCCACAACATGTGGTTTTTATTTGATGAGAAAACCTTATTTTATTTAATCTTTAAATATGATATAAGTTTACATTATGACATTTATAAAGAGAAACTTCACAATTATAATTTACAACTGAGGAATGCAAGGAGGTCCTACTTCTCTGACATCATCACTAAAAACAGCCATAATGCTCGGGTCTTATTTTCTACAGTTGACAGGCTAACAAACCCTCCTGTGTCAGTGGCAGCTGAACTTCATTCGACCATGGCCTGCAATGACTTTGCCAAATTCTTCACTGAAAAAATCCAAAAAATTAGACAAGCAATTGGTACATCAACAGCAGATCCAGGATATGTACTGTGTCCACCAAAAAACTGTTTAAACACCATGAAACAGTTTCACCCTATTAACAGCAAAGACCTGGAGGACATCTTAGGTCAACTGAACTCCTCCTCCTGCTGTTTAGATGTCCTGCCAACAAGTTTTTTCAAAAAGGTCTCAAAGACTTTAGAGTCAGACCTGTTACAGATCGTCAACTTTTCTTTATTATCAGGTGTGTTTCCAGAATCACTAAAAACTGCTGTAATCAAACCTATACTGAAAAAGGACAATCTTGACAAGACACAAATGAACAACTACAGGCCGATCTCAAATCTCCCATTTTTAAGTAAGATCATTGAAAAAGCAGTTTCTCAACAGCTCAGTTACTTCTTAAAACAGAATAATTGCTACGATGCCTTCCAGTCGGGTTTTAGACAGAACCACAGCACTGAAACCGCTCTGACCAAAGTGTTTAATGACATATGTCTGAATACAGACAGTGGAAAAATGTCAGTCCTAGTTTTACTGGATCTCAGTGCAGCATTTGATACAGTTGACCACAACATATTACTCAAACGACTGGAGAACTGGACAGGTCTTTCAGGAACTGTACTAAACTGGTTCAAAACATACGTAGAAAACAGGAAATACTTTGTATCAATAGGTAACTTCACATCTGAGCAGACAAGTATCACATGTGGAGTTCCCCAAGGTTCCATCTTGGGACCCCTTCTGTTTAACATTTACATGCTCCCACTGGCACAGATAATAAACAAAAACAAAATAAATTATCACAGCTATGCAGATGACACACAAATATATATCACAATGTCACCAGGAGACCGAGGCCCTGTACAGGCTCTTGGTAAATGCATTGAGGAAATCAATGACTGGTTGTGCCACAATTTTCTCCAGCTAAACAAAAACAAAACTGAGGTAATAGTCTTTGGCGCCAAAGAAAAACGATTACAGGTCACCAGAGAACTTCAATCTATACATCTAAAAACCACAAACCAGGCGAGAAATTTGGGTGTAGTGATGGATGCAGACCTAAACTTAGAAAAACACATTAAGACAATAACAAAGTCAGCTTACTATCACCTCAAGAATATATCAAGGATAAAAGATCTGATGTCTCAACAGGACCTGGAAAAACTAGTCCATGCATTCATCTTTAGTAGGCTTGATTACTGTAACAGCATCTTTACAGGTCTACCTAAAAAATCAGTCAGACAACTACAGCTCATTCAGAACTCTGCTGCTCGAGTCCTCACTAAGACCAAAAAAGTGGACCACATCAGTCCAGCTCTGAGATCCTTACACTGGCTGCCTGTCCGTCAGAGGATAGACTTTAAAGTTCTGATGCTGGCCTATAAAGCTCTGAATGGTTTAGGACCAAAATACATCAATGACCTCCTGACCCAGTATGAACCATCCAGATCCCTCAGGTCATCTGGATCCGGTCTTTTATCAGTTCCCAGAGTCAGAACCAGACACGGAGAAGCTGCATTCAGCTTTTATGCTCCATATATCTGGAACAAACTCCCAGAAAGCCTCAGATCAGCTGAAACACTCAGTTTATTTAAATCCAGGTTGAAGACTCACCTGTTCTCAGCTGCATTTGAATAAAGCACCAAATCCACACTTTAAGCTTAAATTTCAAAACTTACATTTAACTACTGATTTTATCTACTGTTCTGATTTTATCTGTTTTGATTTTATATACTGTTGTTTGTTTGTTTGTTTGTTAATTAGTTAGTTAGTTTATTTGCTTGTTTTAATCAATTTTAAATCATGCTTTTTATTTGTTCTTGTTTCTAATGTCTCTGTAAAGCACTTTGAATCACCTTGTTGTTGAATTGTGCTATACAAATAAACTTGCCTTGCCTTGCCTTACATTTTGAAAATGTAACAGAAAATGCAGAAAACTCAAAAGCTTAATCTGAGAGTCTACAGGCCTCAGTTAGGATGTTAAATGTTAAAGTTCATGAGAGTACGATTAGAAAAAAGACTGAGCAAGTTTAGGTTGTTTGGAAGGGATGCAAGCAGAAAGCATCTGAATAAACAGCACGACTTCTGAAGCAAACAAGGCCAAAGTGGAGATGTTTGTCCATAATGCACAGCAAACATGATGGTGAACCCCAAACACAGAACATCAGCTCAAACATCCCATACAAACTGTCAGTCACGGTGGTGGAGGCTGATGATTTGGGTTTGTTTTAGAGCTGGGCAGATCAATCTAAATATCGATAGTATTGACATCAACACTGGTACTGGATCGAGACTAGCATGATGGTATTGGTACTTTGTTTCTATCCCCTAAGTTCATTGCACTGTGAAAAATGTCTGAAGCTTTATGTGATAATTGAGATTTAAACAACAGAAGTTGACCCAAGTTTCATCATTCATGAAAAGTTGAATGGTTCGTTTGCTATATTAACTAATTATCATGGAAAGTAAAATCACAGTGATTCATTGTTCATTAAAATGTGTTCAGAATTTGCAAATTGATGATAATTCATCTTAAAAATCATGACACTCCCCTACACAAGCTGCCTTCTATAAGTTCGGTATCAGTATCGGTATCTGCATTACTGGCCCTGTAGTTACCTCATATCAGATCATAGCAACATCTGCAGTATTGCACAGCACTAGTTTGTTTTGCAGCCACAGAAGCTGGACACCTTGCAGTTAAAGTGCTGACCTTAGAGAGCTGTGCATAAATGAAGGCCAAGAAACGTCAACGAAGAGAAGCAGCACTTACGGAAGAATGTGCCAAAATTCCTCCACAATGATGTGATTGTGATCGATAAACTCATACAGACAACAGTTACTTCAAATTGTTGCTGATAAAGGCGGTTCTACGAGCTACTGAATCATGAAGCAGACTTAGTTTGTCACAGCAATGAAAACGTCTGTATGTAAACTCTGATGAAGTGATACAGAATATTTTAAAAGAAATACCAGTGGCTTTTTATTTTTAAGTTTATTAGCTGCAAATGATGATGATTTATTCATTATGATAAACTTTTTTGATTTGACCATTATGTCTAGCAAAACTAGAACTATGGGTTTGTAAAAGTAAATAAAAGTCTTTGCTTGTTTGTTGAAGCACCACTGAGAAACTAAATATAGTGATTTACTGAAAAAAAATGTCCAGCAAAGGTGTCCAGCTACAGTTTTGAAAGTCTGCAATCTTTATCCTGTCATTTACTTCATGTTATGTGCTTATGGAAGATTACATTAAATAAGTCAGCCTGATGGTTAAAATCAGCAGTGCACTGTCATGTGTTTAGTACAGCTGAACAGTGGACTGTTTGGGGCTATCTCGCAATTCTTGAATTTAAATTGTCAGGGTGTGTCTGGGTTCAGAATCCCCACTTTGATCAAAAACCCTGAATGAATCCCTCTGCCTACATGTTTATCCTTTTTCTCTCTTCCTGTGTGTGTGTGAGAGAGAGAGGGAGTACGCCAGAGCTTAAGGTTGCTTCAAGGCCCATCAAGTTTTTCTGAGAGTTGGTAAAACTTCTTTAGCTTTTCTCTGGTGGAAAAGCTGCCAAGGCTGCTTAGTGGATTAGACCCACTGATGGCTGGCAGATCTAAACGTAGCCTCAATATTTGGAAAAATGAACTAAAAGACTAAAAATTTCTTTACTGAGATACAAAACTTCATACTTCAGGGCTGCACTCTCAAGGCAGTAAGGGAAGCTGCAGAGATTATATTTAGTAGAGATTAAAAAAATGGAAATAGACTCATTTGTCATTTTATTAGGTACACCTTGCTAGTTCAGGGTTGGATCTCTTTGGAGCTGCCTCAATTCTTTGTGGCAATGATTCAACAAGGTGCTGGAAGCCTTCCTTAGATATTTTGGGTGAGTACAAATGGCTCTCACTAACTAAAAGAAGACTGCAGCAAGCTAACATGATAGTTTACCCAAGCTTGAAACCATTAGTTTTCACCTCCTGTGTCAGCCTGACCCTCTTGTCATGGCTATTGCACAGAGATGTGGTTGCTGAAGTGTGGCACAAGCTTTGTATCTTCTGAGCAACGGGTTAAAGATGTATGGAAAGAATGATTTCTGCTCCGTTATAATCAAAAGACGGTGAACTGCAGCAAATATCTCCGAAACTGCAGCTCACACAAAAACGACCTGAAGACAAACACCTATACTTCAGGTAACGTAGTGCCCTGACAGTCCCAGACAACCACTAGATGTCATCATTGTGCCACTAATACTGACTCATTTTTCACAGTGATCACACTGCAGCCATCCCCCCAGTGTGATTACTATGGTAACTGTTACTGATACTGCAGTACCTGTGCTGGCCTGCTGAGTGAAACCTCCATCCCTACTTCTTCTGCATCTTTACCACTCTTCTAATGTCCTTTTCCCAGGGAGCTAGTGTATTCTCTGCAGGCTACTCCTCACTGCCCCACCCCCCTGTGATCACTTGGTCTTGTAGATGTCTGAAAGCCACACCTCAAAGACCCTGGGAGTATTACACAAGAGCTAAGATGCCCTTGTCAGAGCAAGCTGCTGATGCTTGCAAAATTCATGCACCCTGTCATTTACCGTGTCACAAGGACATCACTGCATAGAAATCTTCCACCATTTTTCCCTCTCTACTTTTTCATTAGGCCCCTCTGTCTGTTTTCTCTCATTTTATTCTGGCGCTCTCTTCAGATCTCTCTCCCCGCCTTCCTCTCTGGGTGCGATGATTTGAAGCGGGTCTTTTTAGGATGTCAGTTAAACAGCCGGAGCTGGCCTGACTGATGCTTTGAGGCAGGCTTGAGAC